AATATACCATCAGTAAAGCCAGAAGTCAATGGGTTGGGGCTAGGTTTGAAATTTAAAATATATTAATATATTCAATACCATTTCTCACACAATACAAATCCATCCATTTTGGAGGTGAAAATTATCCTCTAAGTTTCTGGATGCTGAATGTTTTTCTTTGATTAGTTATTGACTCACATTCAGAATGTTATGATGATAATTTTTCCAGTACACAAATTGCTACAATAAGTAATAACAGTAAAAGAAAATTATTACATGACCGAAATAGTTCTATTTTTAAAATGTGATGATTCATTATCCACCAGACTGGAACATACTTGAATGCTTTTTCCCCTGTTAATTATCACAGACTCTAAATTTGTGTAATAAACTTACAACATACTGCCACTACAAAGCAAGAAGCTGTGGTTAGACACAATGCACATGATCATTTTATTACAGACAGATACTATTGGAAGTTGGTCTACTCATTGTATTGAAACAGAATGGTTAACTTATCATCTTACTGCTCTCAAAAGGGAGTCTTGCCCATCAAGTGCACATTGCTCAAATCTGAGCACCTGCAGCACATGATGTTCTGATATTTAACTAGTCAGAAAATAATTTGTCTCCTACATCAGCATATTTTCAATGTAAATTCAGAGCAAGTGAGGACTTCCACCTGGATTATTAGGATATAAAATTATTCCATCTTTCAAACTGGGAAGCACACCTCTGCTTGGCACACTTGGTTCATCTCTGCACCAGGAGTTCTTAAGCACAGGAAATTGGACACTCATGTGTACTAATGTAATTAATCCAATTGTTAAAGGTACTATGTTTTGCATGAGGCATGCAACAAAGACATGGTCTGCCCATACTTGAATCTATTCCTTATGTGGTTGTTAAAGATTTTGTAGAAACTTTTGAGGAACAGATAAATCTTGGCGATCAATCTCTTCTTACGTAACGAAGAATGAAAGAGATTAATTGGCCAATAAGCAACCTGGTTATTATTTATGGGTCATTGTTATGTATAAAATAGCTACTATTTTATGTATCAATACATTCTATGTGAAACAGATTGAGATGTCCTCAGACATTTGATATTGAGCTGCAAAAACTTAATTTCTTTCTTTCGAAAGGTTACTCAATCTTCACCTCATCCTTTCCCACTTTGTTTTAAATGCCTACGAAAGCATTTTTGAAAGTAGCTCCTTGAATGATAGTGGAAAACAGGAAGTATTGATCCAATTAGAGATAGTAAGAACTGCCAATGCTGGAGTCAGAGATAACACAGCGTGGAGCTGGAGGAACACAGCAGGCCAGGCAGCATCAGAGGAGCAGGAAAGTTGATATTTTGGGTTGGGACCCTTCTTCAGAAATGGTATTGATTTAATTGCCTCTTGTACATCTGTCCTGATTTTAATTGCTATTATCAAATTCAGAATGATCTCCTTTAGCTGTCATAAGAGACAAGATAATCAACTCCAAGGGAAGATGAGTTCACAGTTTAGTGCTTAAAAATGTCCTTGACTTCACTATATGAGTCAAATCACAGCAATCAGTTAAAATTATTCAGTACATTTAGACATTGCTCCTGTGTATGAAGTCCAAATATAGTAACTTTTAAGGAAATCTTATTTCTTAAGGACAATGTATTACAAATGTTGTAAGAGTATTGCTTTTCAAATCTTGGTTGTGATGTAACACTGATTACAGATCCCTTCCTTGTGCCATGGCATAACTGTTGGGGGATGAGCTAGTTGGACATTAACTGGCTTGAGGCAGGCTACTTGACCTATTTGGGAGGTAGGAACTGCCTGCGTGCAGCATTCACACCGGACAACCCAGACCTGTACAGAGAATCCAGATATGACCTCCGCAAGACCAAGGTCTTAGCTCCACCCTCTATGACTGGATCCTCAGCTTTCTAACCCACAGACCGCAGTCAGTGAAGATAGACAATTGCACCTCCTCCACGATAATCCTCAACACTGGAGCTCCCTAAGGATGCATCTTCATTCTCCTACTGTACTCTCTGTACATCCATGGTGAGGTTGCCAAATTCCAAACGAATGCTATCTACAAGTTTGCTCATGACACCACTGTGATAGGACGGATATCAAACAATGACAAGTCAGAATACAGTAAGGAGATAGAGCGCTTGGTGACCTGGTGCAATGAAAACAACTTCTCCCTCAACGTTGGCAAACTAAAGAACTGATCATTGACTTCAGGAAGAAGGGAGGAGAACATGCCCCCATCTACATCAACGGAGCTGAGGTTGAGAGGGTGATGAGCATCCGAGCTCCTCTGAGTGATGATGACTGACAACCTGTCCTGGACTTACCACATAGATGCGACGGACAAGAAGGCACAACAATGCCTTCTCTTCCTCAGGCAGCTCAGGAAATTTGGCATGTACACAAGATCCCTCACCAACTTTTATAGACACACCATTGAAAGCACACTGTCCAGGTACATAACTGCCTGGTAAAGCAATTGCTGTGTCCAGGGCCTTCAGAAACTACAGAAAGTTGTGTGCATAACTCAGGCCATCACAAAAGCCAATCTTCCACCCATGGACTCCATTTACACGGCCCAGAGCCGTGGAGAAGCTGTTAAATTCATCAAAGACCCATCGCACCCTTGTAATGCTCCCCTACAATCTCTTCTGTCAGGCAGACGATACAGAAGCCTGAACACAAGCACCAGCAGGTTCATGAACAGCTTCTTCCCAGCCATTATTAGACTAATGAATGGACTCTGTAACTTCAAATAATGCGTATCTTGCTAATGTTGACCTTGTCTAGCGCACGCCCTGTGCAATGTAACCTGTATGCCTCCTATCTAGTTCTTTTTTCACCCTATCATCTGTATGTCCTTGCTTACTATGATCTGCCTGTACTGCTCTTAAAAAATCTTTTCACTGTACTTAGGTACACATGAAAATTAATCAATCAAATCAAATCAACTGACCGACAGCTCTCTTGTCTCATCAATACCATTGGCCAGTGGCCATTGTTTGGATAACATTCAGACCCAATGGTGATCATTGCTGTCGCTGGATGCAACGGTAGATGGATGGGACTGGTGTCTTCACAGTCAGGCTTGCAGATCCCAGCAAGAAGGTCAAAGGGAGTGAAAGAGGCAGGTTGGGCAGTCCCAGGGAAAATGAAAAATACAGCAGGGAGAAGACAAGTGGCAGGAAAAGACTGCAATAGAGCGTTGCTTAGAATCTGATGGGTGCAGAGGGACAATGATAAGTAACCCCTCTGCCCCACCCTTGCCTGCTACCACACCAAACAATAAAAGTTGACAGACTAAACATTTGATACTGCCCTCCACTTGTCACGGAATCCCTACATTGTGGAAGCAGGCCATTCGGCCCATTGAATCCACATCACACCTCTGAAGAGCATCCCACCCAGATCCCTACCCTATCCCTGCATTTCCCATGGCTAATCCACCTAGCTTGCGCATCCCTGGGCACTAAGGGGAATTTAGCATGGCCAATCTACCCAACCTGCACATCTTTGGACTGTGGGAGGAAACTGGAGCACCCGGGGAAAACCACGCAGACATGGGGGTAATGTGCAAACTCCCCACAGACAGTTGCCAGAGGCTGGAATCAAACTCGGCTCCCAGGTGCTGTGAGGCATCAGTGCTAACCATTGAGCCACTGTACTGTCCCCTGTTTGTGGCAGGAGTGGGAAGACACCCTTGAATTGTCATGAATTGAGTCCATAATGTTACCCTCAATTTTACACTCACCTGCCACATTACAAATGGGGGGGACGGTATGAAATTTAGCCCCTTGTGGCTAATGCACAATTCATCTTTGGAAACCAATGGGACTCAATATGCCTGGAGCATAGGCTTGGATCTACTATCAGCTACATGGAGCAACATTGTAAATGAAATGAAATCTCCTGTCATATCTACACATAATGATCAGAATAAGGAGAACTTGTTTGAAGACTGCCAGACTAAGATCAGCTGGTATCATACAATGGAATTTGAACCTAAGACACTCAATGGTTCAGACTTACACCATGTAGAGTATTTTAATGAATTGTGATAGCAGGTTTATTTATTTGTTTGGTATTTATTATACTGTGGATAAAAAATGACTTAAGAATAATGTGTCTTGACTGCTGAACTTGTGATGAGTATTATCAATGTAAATGTGAACTCATGGTAATGAAAGACGATAAAGTTCTTCCACACGTATCTTTGCCATTCATAATTAACTTACCTATGTGTTTTGTACTCTTTTTCACCCATTGTGGATGCCATGGCTTTCAGGAACGATGGATAGAAGAAAATTTGCCGGTGTTGTCAAAAAAATTTTAAAAGTTGTGAAGTAAAATTATGTCCAGATGTAATGATGAGAAACTATATTTCTGGAGCTGGAAGACATACACTGCATGTTGCATTGGCAACCATGTTACACATGTGGTCAAGCTGTTGTAAGGATTTGCAGTGAAATGACAACTTATAATAGGGGTATTTCGTTAGAACTGATAGAATAATGTAATTGCCAAGTAGAATAAAGTCTTCCTTGAAGAGGTAAGAGTAAAAAGCAAGAGAGACACTAAGAATCAGAAACAAAAACCACCAGGAATACCCAGCAGAGAGAACAGATAAGATGCTTTGGGTTTAGGTGCTTCTTCAGATAAACAGTCAATACCTGGGAAGGTCTGACCAGCCTCTTCACACATGTTATCAGGCCTGCTGATATTTCCTCATTGAGATGAGTCGGTTGCTTATTAAAGAAAATTTCACTCTTAAGGTACAAGTTAACATTAACGACCAAGTTTAATATAAAAAGATCACAATAGTCTTTAGTTCATATATTTGATTAAATGCATTAATCCAGATTTCTCAATCTAGGCAGAGTCATCCTGTGAATGTACTATTATCTTGATACAAAGTAAAAAGCCTCATTCATGTTAAGTCATTGTAGGTCCAAAAAGCTTTCACAACTGAAGTGACAAACATCAATCTTGACTCACCAGTTTTACGTAGGGGAAAATCATCCTTTGTGTCATCAACTGCCAATGATGGTTGCTTATATGATGGAGAACTTCCACTCTGTGGTGGTGAATTCTGGTCCAGTGAAGTACGGTGGGCCCCCCTGGTACAGGAACAAAGCGTAGAGATTTAACACAACTATTAAACGGACCACATAATAAACTGACAATATAATCTTTGTAGGTAGTCTGCATTGCTTCCACTTTAAGACACCCTTTCCATGTCAGTTATTCACATTTGTCTTCAACTGGTTGGATTGTCATGAATCAGACTTGACCCAGATTTAATTTGCTATCTTTCCCCCGTTTGCATGAGGTCTTTCTGTTTCCCCTCTACTTTTTAACAGTCCAACTCTATTAAACAGATGGTGATTGAACAGAGAAATAATTGTTACCTTTTGTCAACTTTGGGAAATCATACACAAATTTTCTATTCAAACTACTAATGATTCTTTTTTGGCATTTCTACCACTCTGTCAAAACTCTCCTGCACAAAGTCTCTGACCTGGTGAAGGGTTATTTCAGCATCAGACCAAGGAAGTGTGAAGAAAGGAAACATTCAGCAATGGATCTGTGCCAATAGTCCTAAAGCGAAATAATCCAGTTTAACTCTAGTTTATTACTTCTGAATGTTATCGATTTTCTGTCTCCTAGCCACTCGTGGCAAATTATTTCAATTTCTAATTGTATCTGTGAGAAAAGCAGTATTCTGACTTTTGCTTCCATTCTTCTGAAAGTTGAGTATTGCTGAATTGAGAGACATGTTGCTAGAACTTTTTGTCATGCAGTCTTCAGGGCAAATGCAAGAGTGCCAATTTTCCAAAAATCATAGGAACATGAAATACTGAATAGTTGGTAAGTAGGTATGGATTAGCTGAAAAGTTGCCACAGAGAAAACAGGAAAGTGAGGCTTCCTATGCTCCAGTTATTCAAATAAAAAGGCGCAAGGCTTGAACATATTCTGTTTGCAAAGAACAGGCACTGCATATAAATGTATGTTATTTCTAGCAGCTGTAAGTGTCACCCATTATGAGCTTGATTGATTATCATAAATTGGCTGCTTGTGTAGATATTATCACACTCCAGATTATCCAGTAAATCCTGCCCAATCATAGAATCACTTTGAGCAATCAAATTAGCTGAATTATCCAGAAGCATGGAAAGCCTATATAATTCCCCAATGCTCTCTGAACAGTAAAACTTTAGCCAGAGTTCATATGCCAAGCAATCAACATCCCTTTTCTCCTGTATATTCTTCTAGTCAATTGGGTAGCACTTCTGAGGTGTCTGCAGCTACAGGTAAGTCATCCACTTTTGTGACTGGTAGAGTGGGGAAGTTTGTGATCTAGGTAAGAGTAGTGTAATCTCCAAAATTAAGGTGTCTGTACAGGATCCGTGAACCAAGCTTAGGGGTGTCATTTATAGGGGGATAGAGTTGTGGGGAAGAAATTATATCTAATGACTGGAAGCTTGGGTGTTAGAGGGAAGTACTTACCTACCGCTCAAAGACATCATCACCTTTCTTCAATTGCCATATTCCCTGAGGCACTTTGTTATGTCTCCACTAAATCAAGCAGCAGATGATTGAGCTTATTGAGATTATTGAAGTATTAATATCTCACTAATCCCAACATAGCTGTTTTGATGTTCCACTCTCTTTCAAATAAGATGTTAAAACCAAACCAAAATCATCAGATCAAGCAAAATCTAACTAAAGCAACATTGATTGAAATTCAAAAGTAAACCAAAAGATGTGGTAAGGCAATTTACCAGAGCAAATTCTTTCTATAAGCTCAGATTTTTGGCTTCGTTTTAGTAAACCTTGCATGTGCCATCATTTTTGCTCATGAATGTTCTGCTTGATGCTCCTTCTTGGCCTCCCACTCTGTCTACAGTGTTCCTATTTTGTTTTAAGTGTCACAATTCACTGGCTTAGAGTGCTGGAAATAAAGGCCCACTGTTCCAGAGTCAACACAAACGTAAAAGTTGTTTTTTAAAAAAGTATGCAAAGATTCCCCAGTTTACTAGAACTTGAGATCTGGGCTGACATAAAGCACGAGCCATGTTCCTATACTTAACAAGAATTTACTTTTTATAATTCAAGCAATTAGACTTGAGCAACAGGTAAACAATTATAAGCCATTGGCAATATAACACTAATAATTAAAAGTCCTATCCCTTATACACATAAACACATGGTCAAACACATATAGGGGAAAATAAAAAAGCAAATTATGGATTGTGGGAAATCTGGAAAATATGTCCATTTCTTGTTCACAAAAGGTTGCTGAAATGATTCTTTTGATTCTTGGGCTGTTCAGAATGCTGCTTTTCAATTAACATTCTCCTCATGTTTCCATTGGTATTCAATATGCACAGGTTGGTTGGTTCACTTATAAGAAAGATTTCTGACTCATCTGTTAAAAATCACATCTTGCAGAAACAGCCGAATGAAAGATTAACTAGTTTTCTTCAGATTTGAAGGGGCATACTGCAAAGGGAGAAAGTGCTTTTGGCTGGCAGAGACCAAATGACTTCTCTATACCTTGTTCCTAACCCCAAGCTATTCAGTAAGCTAACAATCACACAATTGTCGGCAGGCCTTTCTCATCGATAATTGGTCACTAATCCATAGACCAATCAGCTTTTTGCTGCCAACCAAAACTCCATCTCTGCGCAATCCCTTGGCTCCAGTTCATTTGCAAACACTGCTGTAATCCATCGCTGCACAAACATTGTTCACAAGTATCAAATTGCTCCCTTTCAAACTGTGCAGAAATCTCTGGTTTTGCAAACAATTCTTTTCTCATTTCAGCTCACAATGAAGAATAAAAAGACACAATCCTACAGAAGAGAATACCAAAATATGTGGAAGCAAAGTAGGCTATTTAACACATTGAGTCTGCTCTGCCATTCAATAAGATTGCGGTTGAAGTGATAATCTTCAACTCCACTTTCCTGCCTCTTACCAATAGCCCTTGATTTACATATAGAGTGTAAAGTATTTGTCTATCCAAGCCTTAAATATACCTGATGACCCAGCTTCTACATCTCAGTAGATTCTACTTCTACTTATTCACTACCTTGTCTTAGATTTATTTTCCTGTTTGCTTTTATGTAGAAACAGTGATCATTTAAAAGAAGCTACAAGTTCAGTGTCTACTTCTGTCCCTCTTCTGCTAAGTCAACACACTTCTTGCACCTTCTGTTTTCTTTTAAAACAGGCCTTAATCTCTGTCTGCTCACATTCTGCTTCAGTTCTACTCTTTTTCAATCTCCTCACTCTCAGTGTCCATGACCTTTCATCCAAGTACTCATGGGTACCCGCATGGGTCCAAGCTATGCCTGCCTCTTTGTAGGTTACGTAGAACAATCCCTCTTCCGTACCTACACTGGCCCTAAACCCCACCTCTTCCTCCGGTACATTGATAACTGTATCGGCGCCGCCTTGTGCTCCCACGAGGAGCTTGAACAGTTCATCCACTTCACCAACACCTTCCACCCCAACCTTAAGTTCACCTGGACCATCTCTGATAACTCTCTCTCCTTCCTGGACCTCTCTGTTTCCATCTCTGGCAACCACCTGGAAACCGATATCCATTTCAAGCCCACCGACTCCCACAGCTACCTAGAATACACCTTCTCCCACCCACCTTCCTGCAAAAATGCCATCCCCTATTCCCAATTCCTTCGCCTCCACCACATCTGCTCCCAGGATGAGGCATTCCACTCCCGAACATCTCAGATGTCCTCGTTTTTCAAGGACTGCGACTTGCCCCTCTCAGTGGTCGGCAACGCCCTCGACCGTGTCTCTCGCATTTCCGGCAACTCATCCTCACACCCCCTCTCCGCAATAACAACCAAAGCAGAATCCCCCTCGACCTCACGTACCACCCCACCAACCTCCAGATCCAACGCATCATCCTCCGACACTTCTGCCATCTGCAATCCGACCCCACCACCAAAGACATTTTTCCCTCCCCACCCTTATCTGCTTTCCAGAGGGACCACTCTCTCCGTGACTCCCTTGTCCGCTCCACGTTCCCCTCCAGCCCCACCACACCCGGCACTTTTCCCTGCAACCACAGGAAGTGCTACACCTGCCCCTATACCTCCTCCCTCACCCCCATCCCAGGCCCCAAGAAGACTTTCACCTGCACATCTGCTAATGTGGTATACTGTATCCGCTATTCCTGTTGTGGCCTCCTCCACGTCGGGGAAACCAAGCAGAGGCTTGGGGACCGCTTTGTGGAACACCTACGCTCAGTTCGCACTAAACAACTGCACCTCCCAGTCGCGAACCATTTCAACTCCCCCTCCCATTCCTCAGACGACATGTCCATCCTGGGCCTCCTGCAGTGCCACAACAATGCCACATGAAGGTTGCAGGAACAGTACCTCATATTTCGCTTGGAAACACTGCAGCTCAATGGTATCAATGTGGACTTCACAAGCTTCAAAATCTCCCCTCCCCCAACCGCATCCCAAAACCAGTCCAGCTTGTCCCTGCCTCCCTAACCTGTCCTTCCTCCCACCTATCCCCTCCTCCCACCTCAAGCCCCACCCCCATCTCCTACCTACTAACCTTATCCCGCCCCCTTGACCTGTCCGTCCTCCCTGGACTGACCTATCCCCTCCCTAACTCCCCACCTACACTCACCTTTACTGGCTCCATCCCCGCCTCTTTGACCTGTCTGTCTCCTTTCCACCTATCTTCTCCCCTATCCATCTTCTATCTGCCTCCCCCTCTCTCCCTATTTATTTCAGAATCCCCTTCCCCTCCCCCATTTCTGAAGAAGGGTCTAGGCCTGAAATATCAGCTTTCCTGCTCCTGATATGCTGCTTGGCCTGCTGTGTTCATCCAGCTCTACACCTTGTTACCTCAGATTTCCCGCTGCGTAACCTACTCTGCCAGATAGACCATCAGACCTTTTTTTTTTGTTTTCTAGCTATTAGACTCCTTCCTGAGAACAATGAGATATCTATTCAATTTGCCACTCAAGTGTAAAATGAATGTCGCAGATGAGTTTTAACTGTACAAGTTATTATGACCTGTTACATTCCTTTTAGATACCATTAAAGGGTCTTTTTTATATATCTTGTCAACTTCAATTCTAGTGGCATTAGGGTACACTGCCGATTCTGGTAAATGGATTAAGCATTCATCATTCATCATCAGCGGTCCCTCACAGATGAGGATGACTCTCTTCCACTCTCGGGGTGAGTCCATACGTTGCTGTACAGACCGATGCGGCTTCCGCAGACTCTATAACACTTGGGGCAGAAAGTGGTTGTGGGAAGAGGTGGGTGAGACATTGGTGTGGCAGCGCGCTCCCTTCAGTGCTTTCCCCTGGCTTCCACTTTTTTCCTGACAGCAAGTCTAAAGGTGCTCGACACCTTCCTGGATGCTCCTCCTCCACTTTGGATGATCTTGGGCCAGGGATTCCTGGGTATCTGTGGGAATGCTGCACTTCGCCAGTGAGGCCTTGAGGGTATCACTGAAGCACTTCCTCTGTCCAGCTGGGCCTTGCCTACTGTTTCGAAGCTGGAGGTAGAGCACCTGCTCAGGGAGTCTCGTGTCGGTTATGCAAATGATGTGCCCAGCCCATCGTAGCCAATCAAGGATGGTCAATGCTTCGGGTGTTGGCCTGGTTGAGGTGTTGATGCGTCTTTCTTCCCAGCAGATTCTCAGGATCTGGCGCAGGCAACGATAGTGATAGTGCTTCAGTGCCTTGACGTGTCTGCTGTAGATAGCCCATGTCACAGAGTCATAAAGGAGGGTGGGAACCACCACAGTTCTGTAAACCATGATCTTCATGTCAGATCTGATGTTGTTGTTCTCAAACAGCCTTTTCCTCAGGCGGCTGAAGGCTGTGCTAGCACACTGCAGGACTTCTTTATCAATATCAGCTTTGGCCAACAGGACACTCCCAAGGTATTGGAAGTGGTCAATGTTCTCTAAGGCCTCCCCTTGGACCTTGATGATCGGGAGTTCGCTCCACAATGCCAGGCCAAGTTGGTGGAAGACCTTCAACTTGTAGATGTACAGGATGAGACCCATGCTCTCCGTATGCCTCCGTAAAAGTGCTGACTATGGTCTGGACTACACTCTGAGATTGCACATACTCAAGCATCTTCTGCATACTGCAGCTCGATGACGCTGGCTGGGGTGACTTTGGTTTTGGCTTGAAGGTGGTGAAGATTGAATAATTTCCCGCTGGTTCTGCAGGCCAGCTCCATTTGAGCGGGGAGCTTGTCGGTGGTGAGGTGAAGCATTGCAGAGAGGTAGATCAAGAACAGTGTTGGGATGATGATGCAGCCCTGATTGACGTTGGTCCAAATGGGGAATAGGTCAGTGGTGCAGCCATTTGTCATTGCCACAACTTCCATGTCATCATGGAGCAGGCAAAGGATGGTGGTAAACTTCATGGTGCAACCAAAAGGGAGAAGGACGCTCCATAACGTTTCCCAGTTGATGGTGTCAGAGGCTTTTGTAAAGTTGAAGAAGGTGATGTATAGGTATAGGTGGTTTTTCTCTGCATTTCTCCTGGCAGCTGTTGCATGGTGAAAGCACTATTGTCCCATTCACAGATTTCTCACATTTTAATCCACAAACATGTAGATTCAAATCGCATCCGATCTCACATTATTGCAATGCTGAATGATGGTGCTGTGCTAAAGAAACTGTTTGTCTGTTTGAATAAAACACATATAATCTGATTTCTGTAAATTGTAATTTAATCAAAGCTACTTTTTCTTCAAAAAAATACTTCAAAAATATAAATGCCATTAGTAGGATGATGGTACTTACTTGTACCAGTGTTTGGGATGTTGAGGGAAGGAATGGTTCTGCCCACTTGATGGAGATTCTTTTGCTGATTTACTCAACAGGAATTCCTGAAGTTTCTGCTTGACTTCAGTACTGGCCACAGCACCTGAAAAAAGAATGTGCGCTTCGATAATCGTCACACTTTGGGATCTTTTAATGACTTCTTAACAGAGCATCGTAGGAAAAAGAATAGGCCATTCAGTCCATCAAGCCTGCCCCATCATTCAATATGATCATGTCTGATCAAAGATTCAGTGCCCTTACTCATCACATTCTCATCAACATTGACCCCACTAGTAATCAAATCTCGATTTTCACCTCATCAATCTCCAATTTAAGCAGATTCAAAGGCTGAGCATCAGTATCCCTTCTGTAGTCAAGAATTCCAAAGGTTTACAAATCTCTGAATTAAGTAGCTTCTCATTTCAGACCCAAGGGGCATCCTTTGCATTTTTAAATTTTGCCGCCTGGTTCCACACCCCCAACTGGGGACATCTTATCTGTATCTACCTTGCTTATCCCTTGAAGTGTTTTGTTAGTTTCAATGAGATCACCTCTCATTCTTTGAAACTTTAGTGAATACAAGCCCAGTTTACCCAAACTCTCTCTACAGGTTGGCCCTGCTATCCTGAGAACAATTCTGTTTAACCTTTATTTGCACTCCCTTCATGGCATTAGCAGATAAAGATAAGGATTAACAAATTAGAAAGGATCTGGCCTTACACGGTGTGATGTAGAATCAGAGCCCATAGTTTTAGGATAAAAGGCAGCAAATTTAAAGCAAATGAGGAGAAATTACTTCTCTCGAGGGGTCATGAATCTATGGAATTCGCTATCCCAGACTAAAGTGGATGGTGGGACATTGAGTAAATTTACGGAGGAGATAGACAGATTTTGAGTTAGTAATAGGTTGAAGGGTTATGGAGAGCAGGCAAGAAAATGGATTTGAGGCCAAGATGAGATCAGCCATGATGGTATTAAAGGGTGGAGCAGGCTTGAGGGGGTGAATTGCCTATTCCTGCTCCTCGTTTTTATTTTCTTATTTTCTCAGGTGACCACAACTGAACACAGTAGTCTAGATGCAGTCTAACCAGGCTATTATACAACTGAAGCAAGCCTTTACTATTCCAATACTCAAATCCTCTTTTAATAAAGGCTAACATTCCATTAGCCTTCTTAATAGTTGGCTGCACCTGCCTGTTGACCTTTAGTGATTTCTCAATAAGGATACCCAGGTAAATTTACATTTTCCAACTTCTCACTATTTAAGAAATACACTGCACATCTGGATCTCTTATTAAAGTGGATAACGTCACATTTTCCTACATTATCTTCCATCTACCACATTCTTGCTCAATCACTAAGCCACAAATCCTCCCGAAGCCACTTTACATCTTCTTCACAGCACAGATTACAACCTAGTTTTACATCATCTGCAAATTTGAAATATTACATTTGATCCATACATCCCAATCATTGGTATATATCATGCACTGATCCTTGCAGTACCCCTGCATTCACAGCCTGCCAACATGAGAATGAGATAGGAAGAACTGCAGGAATCAGAGTCATTACAGTTTGGAGCTGGAGGGACACAGCAGGTCAGGCTGCATCAGAGAAGCAGGAAAGTCAACATTTCGGGCTAGACCCTTCATTAGGACTCCTACTCTCCTACTACTCTGATGCTGTCTGACCTGCTGTGTCCCTCCAGCTCCAAATTGCATGAGAATTACCCATTTATTCCTACTCTGTTTTCTATCTGCTAGCCAATACTCAATCCATGCCAGCACATTACTTCCTAACACATGTGCTTAAATCTTTCTAACTAGCCTCCTGTAACGGACTTTAGGAAAAGCCTTCTGAAAATATAAATATGCTACTTCTGTTGGCTCTTCTTTATCAATTTTGTTAGTAACATCTTCAAAAATCTCTCACAAGTTTGTCAAACATGATTTCCTATTCACAAATTCATACTGCATGGAATATGCCCAACCAGATCACTATCGATAAGTTGTCTATTTATCCCATTCTTCAGAACAGATTCGAGCATTTCCCTATTACTGATGAAAGGCCAACACATCCGTAGTTCCTGGTTTCCTCTCTCAATTCTTTCTTGAACATTAGGGAAACATTTTCCACCTGCTAATCAATAGGTATTGTTACAGAATCAGAACCAAAATGTGTTAGGAAATAATTTTCTGAAAAATGGCTTAAAGTGCGTACTGTTCACAGAAGTAAAAGACAATAAATAGTTAAGATACCAATAGTTTCCACTATAGATGTTAAATTATAAGTAATTTAAGACCATAAAGTCGTAAGAAATAGGAATGGGGTGAGCCTTCAACCCCTTGAGACTGCTCCACCTTTCCATAAGACCAAAAAAAAATAGGAGCAGAGTTAGGTCATTCAGCCCATCAGGCCTGCTCCTCTATTGTATCACAGTTCATATGGTTTCTCAACACCATTCTCCTGCCTTCTCCCATAACCCTGGGTTCCCTTACTAATCAAGAACCTATCTATCTTTGTCTTAACTACAATCAATAACTTGGCCTCCACAGCTTTTTGCAGCAATGAGTTCCACAGATTCAGTAACCTCTGACTGAAGAAACTCCTCCTCATCTCAATTCTAAAGGATCATCCCTTTATTCTGAAGCTGTGCCCTCAGATACTAGTCTCTCCTATTGGTGAAAAAATCTTTTCCATGTCCACTCTGTTCAGGCCGCTCAGTATCCAGCACATTTTCCTTAGATACGGAGCCCAAAACTGCTTATGACATTTGAAATGCGGTCTGACCAGAGCTTTATAAAACCTCAGCAGTACATCCTGCTTTAGTCCTTTGAAAATGAATGCTGACATTACAGTTGCATTCCCAATTGCCAATGGAACCTTCATGTTAACCTTAAGAGAATCCTGAACTAGGACTCTAAAGTCCTTCCCTGGTTCAGATTTCTAAAGCCTTTCCCCAATTAGAAAATAGTCTATGCCATTATTCTTCTGCATCCTTCCCGCTTCCCCAACACTATCCATCCCTCCACCTATCTTTGCGTCATCTGCAAACTTAGCAACAATGCCTCAGTTCCTTCATCCAGATCTTCAATGTATAATGTGGATACTTGTGGTCCCAACACTGACCATTGCAGAACTCCATGAGTTATCAGCTGCCACCCTGAAAATTAACCCTTTTATTCCCTACTCTCTGCTTCTGGCACTCAGCCGATCCCCTATCCATGCCAGTACTGTGCCCCTAACATCACAGGCTTTTACCTTATTTAGCAGTCTCCTATGTGGTACCTTGTCAAAGTCCTCCTGGAAATCCAAATAGATCATGTCCACTGGCTTTCCCTTGTCTAATTTGCTTCTTATCTCCTCAAACAATTCTAACAGATTTGTCAGGCATGACCTCCCCTTGATGAAGTTGTGCTGACTCAGCCCTGTTTTACCAGGCACTGTCAAGTATTCTTCAAGTACTTCGAAGGGAAGGCAACAGCCCATCCACCTAGCCTGCACACTTTTGGACTGTGGGAAGAAACAGGAGCACTCGAAGGAAACCAACGCAGACACGGGCAGAATGTGTAAACTCCACATAGATGGTCATCTGAGGGTAGAATCAAACCCGGGTCCCTGGGTCTTTGAGGCAGCAGTGCTAACCACTGAGCCACTGTGCTGCCTTAATTCACACTTGCTTGTGCTTTCCAACCCTTTAGAGGAATCTAGAAACTTAGAGGATCAGAAAAGCCCATTGCAACTCATCCAATTAAATTTCAATGTTCACTTTATTCTCCATCTGGAAATTAATTTTAAGCAGATTACTCAAAAATTATATATAAATGAATAATGAATAAAAACTACCGCAAGTCAGTGAGTTCACAAACAAGTGCATATCTTCATCCATTTATCAAACCTCAGTCAAGTACTTATAGAGAAGGGTACAAATAAACTCCAGAACTGATTTTCCCTGCATCTGAGGGGTTGTAACTTATTTACTGAATGCATCCAACTGCAATACTGAGACACGGGTAACTCTTATTCTTCATAATATTCTTCAAAATTTGTCAGGAAAGACACACTCATCAAATATTCTTCCTGTCTGCCACAATAATCTCTGTGCTCTTGGACAGTCTATTTCCTAAAGCCACAGTACCAGGAGGGACATCCATAAAAGATATAACTTTCAACCAAAACTGTATGGAAGAACTTCAGAGTTGCTGGATTTACTGCTTTTAATTTACAAAAGTAATATAACAATGTATGTCCCTTGGCTACCATATTTCTACATTGTTTTCCCTAGTTCAGCTTGTCATCTGATATCTAGTAATTGTAGTTTGTACCTATTTCAATGACCAGACACATGTGGCACAGCAGTTAACACAATGCCAGAGACCTAGGTTCAATTCCAGCCTTGGGTGACTGTCTGTGTGGAGTTTGAATGTTCTCTTCACGTCTGTGGGTTTCTACCGGATTCTCTGGTTTCCTCCCACAATGTCAAAGGTGCGCAGGTTAGGTGAATTGGCTATGCTAAACCGCCCCGTTATGTTCAGGGATGTGCAGGCTAGGTGGATAGGCCATGGGAAATGTGGGGTTATGGAGATTAGAGGTGTGTTCGAGTGGGATGCTCTTCGGAGGGTCAATGCAGCCTCGACGGGCTGAGTGGTCCGTATCTGCACTGTAGGGATTCTATGATTCTATCATGAATTGTTACAAGAACAATGTAATTTTCTGGATTTTTCTAAAGTCTATAATTAGTTCTACCTTCTTTATGTTCAGTGTCAGAGAATTATCATCTTAATAATTTCATCACCTGTATTTTACTTCCTTATTCTCTTTGAGATCCACAAGTACAATATCATGAGCATACTTCAGGATCATTATGTCAGCAACATCTGAATAGGAGTAGAACAGCAAATGTGAAAGTACACAGTCCCGAGAAGATGCAGTAGTAATTAACATGGGTGTTGAATGAAGCCTGGAGGCTAACTCCATTTGGATCCTACTGTTAAGGGAATCACTGATCCAAAGCTGGAGAGTAGGCTTGACATTAAGGATTTTCAATTTCTTGATAAGCTTAAATGATCACATGGTATGAAAAGCTGAACAGAATTCAGTTCA